GGCTAGTGCAATTTAATTGGGTTTTTGTGATGAAACTCACTTTGTTTTAATTTGCACAATGCAGGGCGAAAGAACCATTCTTGCCACAAATACCTAAGAACTACCTTAGAATTAAGTAAGCGGGTTTCTTTCTTTCTTTCTTTTTTTGTTTGTTTCTTCTCTCTTTCTTGAGCAGCTTGGGGCTTTTCTTGTCAGTGTGTAATCAATGTCGTTTTGATCATGATTTGATCGTATTTGGAGCTGCAAACTCATCATTTCTTTTTGACTTTGTGAACTTTCAGAGACGGAAGGATGACAGTTCGGTTGCTATTGAAGTATCTGGTTAGCAAACTCAGACTGGAAAGCGAATCAGAGGTACTTTCGACTTTCAACCATCTCTTTAGCTTTTTATATAAATATATAAATTAATAATTAATCTACCTGCTCATATATTTATGTGCGAAGTAGCAAAAGCTAGGGATTTTCCATCGTTGCTCTCTTACTCATGCACCTTGCTAATCCCATTTATCTGTTGCTCCTTTATTAGGCATGTAATTAGCGAGATGAAAATGAACATAGCGGATTACATAGGAGTGTCCGAAAAGGAAATAGAACTACGTTTTCATCAAAAGTACCAAAGTACATTAAAATAGAAACCTAGTGGGGTTAGAAAGAAGAAAGATACAGCAGAACTAAAGCGGTTTATCTAGTGATGGACCAAATATATGTTTCTTCCCTTAAAATCATTAAAAAAAGTATGCAGGTGAGAAGTATATTTCTCGAAACTGGTCTTGCATTTCCGTTTTCATTACATTTCATACTCATTCTGTGTCATGGTGTAACATGACTTCATTAGAATCATGGTGTCTTTTGTCCATCCCACCAACACAACATAACTACATATATATGGAGCTTCCACATAGGATCCCAAGAACCTTCTATTTTTGTGTCGTGTTTGGTGGTGGGAATTGGGGTATTATTAGTTAGGTGTACCGCAACTGTTCAAAAGGAGAACCTTAATTAAAGATATATCATAATTACTAATTAATCCCTTCACGGCAAAAAAATAACATATATTTTCTTTCTAACCAAAAGTCAGTTTCATTGAAGCAATTGGCTTCACTGTTGCAGATTAGAATACTCTACATACCCAGTATCATCGTAATAATCACCCACGAGTATATGCTCGAGTAGTTCATGATTTCAGACTTATCACTGATTTGCATGAAAGTAACTTTAAATGGTCTACACAACATATGTGTAGGAACTTGTTTAAAAAAATTGAAATCTTTTGAAGAACTAAACCAGATTAAGATTTAAACTAAACATTAGTAGAATGTTCATCGTGCAGATAAGAGATAGTTGATCACTGAAATGTTGGCCATGCACACGGTAAACTAATGGGTAGATTAGAAGAAAACCCTTGGCAACCTAGGATTTAATTTACCAGAAAAAGGTCATATTTATATATACTAAGCAGGATTAAGAATAACCAGTATACTAAGCAGGATTAAGAATAACCAGTCTGCATCATCTGTCAGAGCACAAAGATTGTAGAGTAGAAATAGGTTTACATATATATATATATATATACACTGTATGTATATATGTATGTATAACCCTAGTATTAATAATGCAAGTATGTTGTTGAGATTGTGCATGTTAAGTTTGTGTGGAAACTGAATGATAGAGTGTACAGAACTAGTATTGAAAATTAGGTGTACTTTGAGATACTTATGATCTACGCTCATTATGAAACATGTGCACGAGGCTATATATGCATTGAGTGATATTATTAGAATGTGCGCATTATAGTGTGTCGACCCAGAACTTTATAATACTTCATGCACACTTCATCATCGAACACCACTACTACTTGTTGCCTAATAATTACTAAAAAAAGGTTTGAATCCTTAGAGAAAACGAAGCAACGCATAAATCTATATCATAATATTCATGCATGCCCTTGAAATTACTAGATCTGATGACCTAGGAGAAAAATTCAGATCTATATATATGTACAATGATTAGGTGCTCTCCCCACTCGTTTATCATTTGCACTAAGTCGATCATACCATACTCAGTTTTAGCATGATGGAAACATTTATAAACAAGGTGAATTTTTTAACTCTGAATGATTACGAAAATTAGTAAAGGAGCTTCCATTGCTTTTCCTCTTTTTAATTATTTTTTACATATTTTTTTAGATTGATTTTTTTTTTCTTTATGTCGTTGTACGTCTGAGGTTATCACAACGTACTTTGACATCAGTATTGTTGCTTCGGCAACGAGAAACATATTCAGGAACTTTTATTTCAGTGACTTTAATAGTTAAATCTTTGCTCTTTTTTAAATGTTAACCTTTCTTTTTCCTATCATGGAGATTTAAGCCATTTTAGGTATTAAATCCTCTCTTATTCTTGCTACCCACAAGAATTTTCAGGAAGTGTTTTAAATATCAATGTTTATCGCATTTGATCTTTGCTATGATATGGAATTGACTGATTTTTGGGGTCAAAAACGTTTTTTTTTCCTTAAAATTCAATCGAAGAACCTAATTTTTTGGTAAAGATAAGCTTTTCTAAACATGGTTTTATAAAGAACTTGTAACTAAAAATTGATGATTTATTTACTTCTAAAATATAGGATTTTTTTTTTCAAATAAAACAATCTGTATGTAATATCTGCTTTGATATTTATTTTTCCACAAAAGCCAAATTTTTATAAGAATTATTTCGTTTGAGTTTGATATTAGAATGTACATGGAATGGGTTTAGGTAGAAGGAAATATAAGTTTTTAAAAATAATGAGTGGATTAAGAGTAATATATGTATGATAAATATGTGATATATATATATATATATATATATATATATATAT